ACGTCCAACAACCGGAACTCTCAACCGCGACCATGGCCGCCATCATCGACGCCGACGACGTGATGGAGCCCACCCTCCAGTCCATCCTCGACCAAAAGTCGCTGCGCTGGATCTTTGTCGGAGGAAAGGGTGGTGTAGGAAAGACAACCACGTCGTGCTCCCTTGCCATTCAGCTCGCCAAGGCGCGCAAGTCGGTCCTCCTCATCTCCACCGACCCGGCGCACAACTTGTCCGACGCCTTCAACCAGAAGTTCGGCAAGGAAGCACGCCTCATTGAGGGCTTCACCAACCTGAGCGCCATGGAGATCGACCCCAACGGCAGCATGCAGGACCTGCTTGCGGGCCAGAATGAGGAGGTGGATGCCATGAGTGGTGGCCTCGGTGGCATGATGCAGGATCTGGCATTTGCTGTAAGCTTCGGCTCTGGTGCGCCAGCACATGTGCAGCGGCTTGTTTTCTAACGTGGTTTATGTACATAGATTCCTGGTATCGACGAAGCCATGTCCTTCGCCGAAGTTCTCAAGCAAGTAAAGTCAATGTCCTACGAAACAATCATCTTCGACACCGCCCCGACAGGCCACACTCTCCGCTTCCTCTCCTTCCCCAGCGTCCTCGAAAAGGCCCTCGCAAAGGTCTCCCAGCTCAGCTCGCAGTACGGGCCCCTCCTGAACGGCTTCCTTGGCCAGGGCGGCCAGCTTCCCAACGGCCAGAACCTCAACGAGATGATGGAGAAGCTCGAGACGCTGCGCGAGACAATCTCCGAGGTCAACACCCAGTTCAAGGACGAGAATCTGACAACTTTCGTCTGCGTCTGCATCCCCGAGTTCCTGTCTCTCTACGAGACGGAGCGCATGATCCAGGAGCTGGCAAACTACGGCATCGACACCCACAGCATCGTCGTCAACCAGCTCCTCTTCCCCAAGAAGGGCAGCAACTGCGACCAGTGCACGGCCCGTCGCAGGATGCAGAAGAAGTACCTCGAACAAATTGAGGAGTTGTATGACGAGTTCAACGTCGTCAAGATGCCGTTGTTGGTTGAGGAAGTCCGCGGCAAGGAGAAGCTGGAAAAGTTCAGCGAGATGCTGACCACGCCTTACTCACCGCCCGAAATGGATGCCTGAATATGAGTAGAGTTTGTAGGTGGTTTTGGGGAGGCAGGGGTCTGCTGGTGGTGGGAGGATCAAAAACACGACTATGAATATTTGGTTATGACTGGATGGGTAGCATGAGGCGCAAGAGTCACGAGTGGAGACATAGAATACATTCACAAACGATTGATACCCTGGTGATGTGTGCAGGAGACTTGATTTGACTACCTTGGTGCGTGATATCAGAGTGCCCTCAACGCTGAGCACCTACGGCGTAGCTTCATTATCCCAATTATCCCCTGCCCCATTGTTCTGCACTATGGCAGCGACAGTAAAGTCCAATTGATTCCCTTCCCATCCCAGGCACATTAGAAAATTCCGTCCCTACCCCGTTCCCGAACGCCCTTCAGACCATAAAAAAGCCTTGTCCAAATTCCTCTTGGCTGTGTGAGGATAGTGTTATGCCGTGTTTTTCCAGAATGATAATGATGAATGACCCCGTGATGCAATGCATGTCGTCTAGATTTACAATCGAAGAAGTCGTAGATGGCCAGTGTAGGAGCCGTCGATTGAGAAAGGCGCTCACAGCTCTCTGTAGTCGCTGGGGCGGACACGCTTCTGCCGGTTCTGGTGACGGTGAGGGTTCACCGGCCTTCGGAAGTACGCGTCCTCGTCGTTGCTGGGCTGTGTGAAGTTGTGGCGTTGTTGCTGATTATAGCCACCCATGCCGCCGCCGTTCATCCCGCCGCCGTTCATCCCGCCACCATTCATTCCGCCGTTCATGCCATTCATATGATTCATGCCGTTCATGTTACCGCCGAAGTTGTTGCCGTACATGTTGTTGTTGCCGCCCATACCAGGGAAGCCGCCGCCGTTCATGGGGTTGAAGCCGGGCATGCCCATCATAGGATTCATCATGCCCATCATTGGCATCCCCATGTTCATGTTACCCATGTTGCCCATGTTGCCCATGTTTGGCATATTGGGCATGTTTGGCATTCCCATGAAGCCGTTCATCATGTTCATGCCGCCGAAACCCATCATCGGGTCCATGGGCATGTTGCCCATGCCGTTCATGCCGTTCATCATCGCTTGCTGTTGCTCTTGTTGCTTCTGCATCGCCTTCGGAGCCTTCGGAATCTTAGGGTTCTCCATCAATTCATCAGCAGGGCGCTTCTTGGAGTTGGACTCCACGGACGACGCGCGCTCAGCGGTGGGGCCGGACGGAGCGGTGGTAGGAGTTGCTGATGTCGACTTTGGCGTGCCGTCGGCTTTCGGGCCTGTTGGCACTGAGGCAGGAGCTGCTGCTGTGGCCGCAGGGGACTTTTGCGATGTGGGCGATTTGGCGATTCCGTTGGCTGATTCTGTCTTTGTCTCTCCATTTTCCTTGGGCGACGAGGCTGGCGGCGGCGAGGCTGCTGTCGGGCTCTTTGCATCGTTCTTCTCCTTGAGGAACTCCTTCATCTTCTCCGCAGCTTCCTCATCAGCCTTGAGGTCGTCAATCAAGACACCTTCCGTAGAGCAATTAGGGCAGACGAAGTCCGATTCGATGAGAGCATTGGTTATGCAATCATTGCAATACGTCTTCTGGCAGCACGGGGTCTTCATTGGGTCTATGAACATCTTCTTGTCGATAGGACACTCAAGTCCCTGGTCCTGCAATTCTTTGTCTCCCATAGCAATTGCCTTGGCAGCAGACGCTGAAGACTTGGCTTTGGCCTGGAACTGTTCCCATGAAGCCTTGTCAGGCTCAGCGATCACAAATTCTCCCTCGGCATTGACCATGATGCCTGATGGTCTCTTGGTCTCGTCGTCACCACTCTGGGCGAGGGCAACCGACTTGTCCACTGTGCGCAAAAATGACCGCGGAATACCAGTCGTGCGCTTCACACGTGGACGATTGTCAAACTCTGGATCGTCGTTCGTTGGGCACAACTGGATCCAGTGACCTTTCTCTCCACAGCGATAGCAAATGTAGCCATTGGGAGGGTCATGGTCAGGCACATTTGCTGGCTTCTTAGAACCTGGCTTGAACACAGGGGTTTGGCTGCAACTTTGTTAGAGTTGATTCGTTAGGGCGATTGGGGATGGACTTACTTTGACATTTCCTCCTGTTGGGCTGACCAAGACTCGGTTTGGGCCTGGAACATGGCTGCCATCTTCTCTTCTTCCGTCATGGCATTGTTCATCTGGCTAATGGCGTTGGATGCGGCCTTGGCTGTGGCTGATTTGGTGGTCTGTTCTTTGCGGGAGGAATTCTTCGCAGCAACGGGCATCTTGCCAGAGACATATCGGGCGCCTCGGCCTGCACCAGGCTTGGCGGCTGGAAGGCGACGAGCAACTACGGTCGTAGATCGGGGGATAATGGTCGTATCATCATCGTACTCTGAGAAGATGTTAGATTGACAGTCGTGAGAAAACTGTTCAAGATAGAACTTACCCTCACTGCCATCCTCGGAGTAAATAGCAAGGTCGAAGTCGGTACCATCTCCCAAGCCGCTCTTCAAAATGATGTCGCGCTTCAGCTCGAAGACGGAAATACCGGTGCCATCGAACTCAACTCGCGTCGGCTCCTTTTGAGACTTGAACTTGAAGAACACGGAGGACGCCATGATGTCTCGTTTGGATAGGTCACAGATGTAGACCGCTATAGACGTTGGCAGCAGTAAAGTGCGTAATCAAAGATTTGATTTGAGTGGCGATGAGGACTTCGCGGGATACCACGAAGATGCAACGCTACCTCAACGTGAGTAGAGAGACTTGATGCTTGTAATTTTTCTTCTTGCTTGTGTGTGATGTCTCTTGCGCTTAGCACCTCTCAAGAGTAATGAAAATCAATTCTGATTTACTTGGAAAACAAGGAAATAAGGGTTGCGGAGTGTAGAGAAAGAGTACAATGCCAAAGAGGCCGACACCAGTTGGAGAAAAGTCAGTCCTTTGTGTGAATCCCTCCTCAAATCCAAATCACCTCGACACCTTTCGCACCATCAGTCGAGAAAACCTCAGTTAGCCAGCGTTGGTTTCCAATTCAGTATTCCGGTCGAAGTGTGAGCGGTCGCAACGGTCTCGTGGCGAGACGCAAACAATCGTACAGGGAAAGAGTCGGTTGCTGAGCGGGCACTTGCTTCGCTGGTCACCTGGGGCCGAAAAGTCGTTTGGGCGATTATCGTAGGGTGATGGAATCCGTTGCACAGTCGTATGGAGCACCCGTACGTAGGTTTCGGCAGAACGAAATGCGCGGTCGCAGGTCGTAAGAGGGCGTTGATGGTGATGTTCGTGGCAGGAAAAAGAGGAGTAACGCAAAGGGGGAGGAGAAGAGATATAGCCGGCAGTGACTGCAGGCAGACGGAGAAAGGTAGCTGGAACCCACTCTCTGGCCACTGCGACCGACCGGCCTGATTCTGCAGCACTGCCAATTCTGGGCAAGCCTGGGCCAGACGGCACGTGAGCGTCGGATTTCCCGGGTGGATGTTTTTCCGGGAGCCTATGTCCCGTCTCTGTGCTAGGCCTTTCCACCAAGATTCAAGGCACCTTATCAACCTGAGTTCTGAAAGGGTCCCCATTCTTCTCCGGAAGGTGCCGTCACAGCTGAGTAATCCCAAGAAACTTCCATTGCCTCCTCCGCCCAGGTCCCGACCGGGACTCCACTATCTCGGCCGCGAAGTTGCCGACAACGTCACGTGCTGTATCACGCAAAAGTTCTTTGGTCTCGGTCTTAGCGCCTCCACCTGGAACGGATACATTAGCAATGGCCAGGTCCCTTCCTGCTGATACGCCGCTGCTTGCCGAAGCGCATTGAGAGAACCCCGCCATCCGGAGCAGTTGTGGGCAGGTGCATGTAGAGGTACTCTCGGTGCAGCAGAATTCTGGTCAGCTCTTTTGCGCCCGATGTAGAAGGTCCAGTCCGGCGTCATGCCCCGCACCTCGTTGTTTAGAGGCCTTGCCCTCCCTCAGACTGCTCGAAAGTTTATTCCTACAACTCCCAAATCTCTACCGTGTTGGCAGACCATCTCACAATCTCGCCGTCACTACCTTACTCCAGCTATAAAAGCACACCAAGCTCGAAAGACCAAGATGGCTCCTCAACTCGACGGCTACTTCAAGCAGGTCGATGCCGACACCGACCACTTCATCGACCGCCTCCGGAAGGCTGTTGCGATCCCCTCCATCTCAGCTGATGTTGAGCGTCGTCCCGATGTCGTCAAGATGGGCGAGTGGCTTGCTGCCGAGCTGAAGGCCCTCGGTGCCTCAGTCGAGCTTCGCGAGCTCGGTGAGCAGCCTGACAAGCCTGGCTTGCAGCTGCCCCCCGTCGTGCTGGGAAGATATGGAAGCGACAAGAACAAGAGAACTATCCTGGTCTACGGCCACTACGATGTTCAGCCCGCCGAGAAGACTGATGGCTGGGCGACCGAGCCTTTTGAGCTCTCCGTCGATGACAAGGGCAGAATGTTCGGCCGTGGTGCCACGGACGACAAGGGACCCGTTCTCGGCTGGTTGAACGCCATCGAGGCTCACCAGAAGGCCGGCATCGACTTCCCCGTCAACCTCCTCATGTGCTTCGAGGGTATGGAGGAGTACGGTTCCGAGGGTCTTGACGATCTCATCAATGCCGAGGCCAAGAAGTTCTTCGCTGACGCCGATGCTGTCTGCATTTCTGACAACTACTGGCTCGGAACTGAGAAGCCCTGCTTGACCTATGGTCTCCGTGGCTGCAATTACTACTCTGTCGAGATCAAGGGTCCTGGCGCTGATTTGCACAGCGGTGTCTTTGGCGGCACTGCTCAGGAACCCATGACTGACCTGGTCCGCGTTCTCGGCTCATTGGTCGACACTGACGGCAAGATCCAGATTCCTGGCATTATGGAGCAGGTCGCCCCTGTTACCAAGGATGAGGAGACTCTGTATGATGGCATTGCCTTCACTATGGAGACTCTCCACGAGTCTCTCGGCAGCAAGACTACTATCTACGAAGACAAGAAGTCCACCCTCATGGCAAGATGGCGTTACCCCTCCCTCTCTGTCCACGGTGTTGAGGGTGCCTTCTCTGCCCCTGGCGCGAAGACTGTTATCCCGGCCAAGGTCACTGGCAAGTTCTCCATCCGTACCGTGCCCAATATGGAGGAGGAGGCAACCAACGAGGCCGTTTACAAGTACGTCAACGAGCAATTCGCAAAGCTCAAGAGCAAGAACACCATGAAGGTTTGGGCTCAGCACACCGGCAAGTGGTGGGTTGCGTCGCCGAAGCACTGGAACTTCTCGGCTGCCGCCAAGGCTACCGAGCGCGTCTGGGGCGTGCAGCCTGACTTCACCCGTGAGGGTGGAAGGTATGAATCCCATTTCCAGATACCGAAGGACGTCCATTAACAATAGACATAGTATCCCCGTCACCTTGACCTTTGAGCAGGCCACCGGCAAGAACGTTCTTCTTCTGCCTATGGGTAGCTCCACTGACGGTGCTCACTCCATCAACGAGAAGCTGGACAAGCGCAACTACATCGAGGGCATTAAGCTCCTTGGCGCTTACTTGCACTACGTCGCCGAGGAGCCCATCGCATAAATCGACCGTGGATTAAGTGAGATCACTACGCCAGAGGGCAACTAGGAACCGCGATACCTGCCATGACATGCAATGGGGCATTCGCCTTACCACGTTGCCATGGCGAGTTGAGTTCGGCTTACAGGCCGACTGCTGACAGCATATCATGCAAGCCGAGAGCGCTGCAATGGGCCGTTGGCCAGATGGGGATCAACGGACAAGAAGCTCCTGATTTTCACTGCAAGGTTCAAATCACAAGTCACGTAATTCAAATACCCAAACAAATTCATATTAAACCGTGCTCAATTTCGTCGTTTCTAAATGTGGGGTATTAGTGCGTAAATGGACAGTCATGATCGTTCGTTCATCATGGTATATACTTCGTGTTCCAGGTATCCAAGCAAAACGCCGGTGAGAGGACAAAGCCTACATGGCTTGGGATATCTCGTGCGTGTAAGTGGTAGGGGAAAGGGGGGGGGGGGTATCGGGGAGCTTTCGACAAAAGCTCTACTACTTCTTCCGCGCCGTCGCCACTCGACGGCTCCGTCTCTTTGCCACAACCTCTGGGTCCCAGTTTCCAGAGAACATATCCTCGAGGTCGTCCTCGTCCTCAGAATCAAACACAACTTCAATATCACTGTCCGGCGCGTCCTTGTGAGCGCTCTGGGCGGCACTGTCGTCGCCGCCGCTATCGTCGCCGTTTCGGTCCGCAGCATCCTCGTCTCTACCACCTACTCCGCCGGCCTCCCCGGCCACGGAATCGTCATCCTCTAATGCATCGTCTTCCTCGTCATCAGAATACTCATCGTCCCGGACGTCGACAACATCCTCCCAGCTACGGAACGGCACCACGCGCTCGACCTCGAGGATGAACTTGCCCACCTTGTACTTTTGGCTGAGCTCCTTGGCGTCGACGTACTTCCACCCTAGCTTCGCGCTGCAGAGGACACAGGTGATGTCCGCGACGACGTGCCAGCCCGTAACGAGCTGGCGGTTCTCGCATTTTCCTATGCGGACGTTGGCGAGGCTTCCCTTGTTCTTGCTGTTGTTTGCGCCGCCGCGTGCACTCTGGGTAGTGGAGGGGGAGGAGGACGTGGTATTGGTGGTGGTGTTTGGGATGGCGGTCGGCGCGATGAGGTAGGCGCGGCCGTAGCGGCCTGTGAAGCCTTTGCTTACGATTTGGGAGGCGAAGGCGATGTCGCAGGAGCAGGTTGAGCAGCGGAGGGTGTCTGGGTGAGTGCGTGCCAGGGAGGTTGCTTTGTTGTTTCTGTTGTTCTTGTTGGTGCTGATGCTTGTGGATTCGGACTTGGATTTGGAGAGGAGATCTGGTATGCTAGTTGTTGCGGCGGCGGTGGTGGCATCTCGGTACGTCGGCGGCGGTGGGCTATTCGGCGGGGTCGCGGTCTCGTCTGTCGTCGAGGAAGTCGGCGAGGAGCTGAGGGAGGGGACTTGGCTTGCGTCTGGGGTTGAGTCCGGGGACGTCGAAGCTGTCCCCGTTTCTGCTGCTGCTTCTGATGCGGACGAGGTCCGGCGCGGGGCGCGGCGGCGGAAGGGGACGATGTTGAAGCTTGGGAGGAGGTACGTTGGGAACGTGGGACGGGAGACGACGATGTTGGGCGCCATCGCGAGGGGTCTTGGGGGGTTTCTTGGACGGGAAGAGAAAGGTGGGTAGTGCGCCGCGTTCTCGGAAGCCCTGGTCCCGAAGATGTGGTTTCCTCGGAGGTTCTTTTTTTCGCTTGTATGCTGTGGATTACGGCTCGTTGGAGTTGTAGATTTGGGCGGCGCCGGCGGTGGAGGGTTCTACCATGGTATTCCGGCGAGGGTTCCGATGGAGAGGATGGATGGTCTTCTCTGGATGTTTAGGGTGAGGAGAACATGGCTTTGTCTTTGGGAGAACGACGACGATAGCAAGCGTTTCAGGAGTTTCTACCGCCTCTCTCTTGACTTGTTCACGAGTTTGGATCCTTTGCGACTGGAACGGGGTCCCCGGGAGGTCATGGAATCATGTATAAGGCAAGGCGGGCAAGCAGGAATGAAGGGTCGGAGGCGATTTGGGGTAGGTAAGGTAGGTAGTTTGGTAGATCAGAGCCCGGCGCAGGGGCGCAAGTTCGACAGGGAGGGGAAAAGGTGAGTGACTGACTTATGGCACGAGACAGTGAGATGGAGGGGTAGAGGATTTTCGGGCTGGGCTTTTCTTTTTTGGCCTGGCCACCGTCCAAATGGTGTGTAACGTGCAGTTTTTGTGAGCGAGTGAATGATTCGGGTTGTTGGAGGGTAAGGTAACGCAAGGGAAGGGAAAGGAAGGTATGGCACCTACCGTTCCGGCAAGCAGCATGTCACTGTCACTGTCTCTGGTGGATCCCGCCTGTTTTGCGGTGAGTGGACGACGGGAAGTGTAAGATATCAAAAGGGTCTGGGCACAAACGTCGGGCATATTTTGGTTGTGCAGGTACCTCCATTTTGATAAGGTAGGTATGCGCAGATGTTTGGAGCTTTAGTTTTGTCTGCCCGGACTTGAGATGGAAGAATATGGCTTGCTGACATTTGATTCAGCTAGACATGAAGGCTGAAGAGGAGTTGCGGATGTTTTGCCTTCACTTTGATATCGTAAAGTAAGACATTGCAAAGGTGCCAAGGTAGTTACCAACCCGCCTCTCCGGGAACATCTGCTCAACAAGCGGCCAAAATCGGAGCAGCGGGCGTCGGTCTTTATTCAGTACTTACCTTGGGCACAGTACCAGGTATTCAGTACTTGAGGGATCGCTCGGATGCGGTGGTGTACGAAGTAGGTACGGTCAAGTCCCTCGGTCGAAGGAGGTTCGAGCTTCCCCACTTGGCTACCTATACCTTATCACAGACCAACATTATCGATAAGATGAGCAACTGGAAGCGTGAGTCGATAAGAACGAGAGACGGCGGCCGGGTGGAGTCTTCCCAAGTGGTGAGGTTTCCATGGGCGCCGGCAGTAAGTGTGTGTGTGTGTGTGTGTGTGTGTGTGTCACTGGACTTCGGACCCCACCAGCGGGTGGGTGTGGATGATCACCTCATTCGGCCTCCATCAGATGTGACCCCTCTTCCTCCAACGGTTGTGCGGCAGACGGAAAGAGAAGGGGTCCCCACCTTCATTCATGTCGTTGGAGACTCCCAGAATGAGGGTGAGCACCTGAACGGCTGGAGAGGCTTCTAGAAAAAGCGAAAACCCAAAGTTGATGTTTCGAGTTCCAGAGGCTATTGTTCGGCAACTTTGGAGTTTGCGGGGATCGAGGCCGTCACAAGTATATTGCAACAGCATCCAAGGCCATTGTTGAAGCATATCGATCGTTATCTGTGGACCCAAACGCCGCGCAGCTTTCGCTCGGTTTCGGTGAGGAAGTAGTGGGGAGCGTCAGATGGTCCGTCGGGCTGTTAGCTGCTGACTACCAGAGACCGGCGCCGATTTAGATGCGAAATCTATAGCCCTTTGACTGCACCCAGCATCAAGGTAGGTAGACCGTAGCAGTCTCGATGACAAGTAGACGCTCAATTGTCGTTAATACGAAATTAGTAGATCAACTTCGAACGAATGATCCAAGCCACCAAGAGAAGTCGATATTCGTCAAGGTATTCATAACGCACTCGTTCCTTTCGAGAAGGAGAGTGCTGCGGTGGATGACTCGCAAATCATGAATGTGGGGGGGCAAAACGGTCAAGTGACCCGAACGGAAACCCGGACCCCAGGAAGTCCAAGCATGCTAGTTGCGGCGCTGCCATGGCATTTTTGGCAGGCACTGACAAGGCATCCTGCAATATTGCCCAAGGCAATGTGTGAATATAGACCAACCACCGTGACACCTTATGCTCCGGTGGCCTGCTCGCCCGTCACAATTGCGACGGCCGAGAAAACGCGGCCTCCGACCGTGCCGGGGCTCCGGCTGAAAGGGGATCCATCCGCTCGAGCAGGTTGCGAACTTGCGACATCTTACGCCATCCTCGTATGAAATGTTTGGACTATCCACGGCGGACGTCTGGAATACAGTACTGTGTACGTGGTGAGCTCACCCATAGTTTCGAGCTTGGTGACGGTAGGCTGGCCTCTCGCAAACCCTAATTGTCCTGATGGTGGAGGACCCCGACATTTCTCAGCGGTTATCTGTCATTCGTATGTATGTGCGACGATCGACGGCCGTGTGCTTAAACTGCTTGCGTAATATTACCTCACTTTCGTAAGTTGATGATTCAAAAAGGGAACCAGTTATCGGGCCAACGCCACACATATCAACGTTGATCATCCTTGTGGAAGCCCATCAAGAGTACGGATAAAGCACTGCGATACTGTGAGCGCCAGAGAGAGAAACTCATCTGTTGACCGTTTCCGTCCAAGAGATGATTACCCCAAGTTCTGGGTCGGGCTAGGGTGGCTGGGCAGCAAGGGCTCGGTTTGGGGGGGATTGACCACGTGCATGTGAAGTGCAGCCCACGGCCTCGTTCGATTGGCAGAGGCCGCAGGAGAAGCAGTCAAAGTGCCAAGCGCCGTGCCGGGCCCGGATTGGGAGCGTCCAGCCGAGTTGGTTGATTGCTGGCGGGAGACTACTGGTGACAGTAGAATTGTGGCATCTCTGACTGGTCTGTACGGATAGAAGGTCGAGATAGGCTTGGATGCATACAGTTATTGGAGTTTGGAGACAGAAGGATGCATCTGCTTCAAGTCCGTCAATGAACCAGTACCCAAAGAGTAGGTAAGATACCTAGATCGTGGACCACAAATGGCCGAGCAGCATCAGCCAATGCAATGCAGCCCAAGAAACAACGTGCTTTGCTTCCCATACCGCCTCATACAGTGCAACATTGACGGTTGGCGCATTGCAAAGCAAAGGGCTCCAGCCAGTTTCGTAAGCCTAGACCAGTGGCCCCCCAATGGACCGTGGACCATGGACGCCCCCTTGCCAGTGAGAACAATGGACAAACTGGAACCCTCTGGAAGCTGCGTAAAGAGACAGCTGTTGTCGATGATGATCGTAGCGAACAAGCAAACAGATCATGGA